TATGTGAAAAAAGATTCAAAACATCGGAATATCTATGTATACATATTTATGTACATTAGACTACATCACCAAAAAAAGTTGCGGTTTTTCCGCCGGGATTACAAAATCTATTATATTTTAAGATGTCCAGCAAAATATTTCGGAAAAATATTAAGATTTAAACGAGCTGGACCGATTTGAAAATACCTCCAAAAATGGAGTTTTTTATGCATAAAAAAAAAGTTTCTTAAAGATGTTTAAAAAAGAATTCCCTCAAAGGACAAAACGGATTAGGCTTAAAAAATATTCATACAAAAATTTTAAAATCTTTTCAACGGAATCGTAATAATGAGATTTTTGATGCTGTTTTTAATTTACTTTTTCAAAGATTGATTTACGAAAAACTTAAATAACTGCACCAAAACTACTCTAATTTAGACTTATGGGATCTCGGTAGAAAAGTGTTTCCCCACTATTTTTATTTGTGTGCAAAAAAAAGTCATTCGTGTCCCAATTATTATTTTTTTTTCAAATACCAACACATCTTAATTAAACTTTGAATGATGTTCGTTTATCCTACTTTTCTCTTTCGTCCTTTGAATGAGCTTGTTAGCAAAGAAATAAAAAGAGAGAAAATACCTTTCCACTGATACCTCTTAAGTCTAAATCGGAATCACCCCGCCGATCACCTCATGTGAAAATTATTTGAACTTACCTGACTTCTTAAGCTTTTGGTGAAAATAAGCTATAAGTGGAAGCTCTCACAGAAGCCATGGTAGTCCGATTTTTCGTGAAATGACAACTTTTGTTAAAGTACCACAATTTCTATAAGACTTTCGAGCTTAAAGTTTTCCAACCAAAAGTCGTGGCATACGCCAATGACACGATGCAATCACGTCCAAGGGAAAGTTTCCGCAAACGAAATGGGAGCTAATGCAGCGAACGCTTCGAGAGGCATCCAGGTGGTCCAAACCGCTGTGCGAATCCTAAATTTCTTTCTAAAATAGTGAAGCTTATTAAATTTACTATCTTCTACGTATAAGATATTTTCCAGCCAAATTAGTAGTTTAGGAGCTAATCATCGATTCATCGACAATTTTGCATAATTAAAAAAAATTAAAATAAAGAGTTTCTTTCGGTAAAAATATAAATACGAAAGAACCTGTTAACTTTTGGATACTTGCACGTCACAACATGATCTTTCATAAATACAATAAAGCCCTGCTCATCTAAATTGATAATAAATGTATGTAGAAGTTTTGAGCACCTAAGTAGAGGCATACAAAAAGTTTCTATACAAATTTATGGAGTACACACCTTTTACTACAATTTCGAATCGCGATATCTTAGAAATGGTAATCCTTAGGAAGAAAAATGTTATAACAGTTTTTGTAGACAATTGTATGATCTACACTTTCGTCTCACCTATTTTTATGATAAACCGTACCATTTGGCTGAGAAATGCGAAAAAGCAGTTTATGTTGCCTTTGACCTTGGAAACATATTTTTGCAGACGTGGGATCGATGGGTTACTTTTCGACTTTTCATTCATAATGGTGTTCGCAAGACTCGTAACAATTTTCACCTTTATGCGAATTTTTGTAAGCTTGCCCTTGCTTTATTGAGCTTGAGATTGACTGGGCACATATGTACATACAATTTTTACATACATACATATTAGGATTAATTAATTAATTTTTAAAACGAAAAAAAAAAATCGGTATCCCCCTACTCAATTCGTTTCACATCCATGAATGACATCGTAAAATTTCGCACAATTTGCTCATCTTTCTTACACTCGCTCTCTCTTCATAAACTTCGCTCAATTCAAATTGAGTTACTCTCCGGCCATTTGCTTTACACACTCTTTCTAGTTGGGTACATATTTACTCGGTTTAGTGCCATATATGTATGTATACGTTTATCACCCATCGTTGATTGCTTTCACTAAATATTTATTATTTTTTTGCTGTTTTTGTTTTGTTTACTTTGACTTTTTCCCCATTTTATTTTTATCTACGTTTTATTTTTAGTTAAAGCTTAATTTGCAGCGTTTCTTTTTTGTTTTGGTCCGTCTTTTCGTTTTTTATTTATTTTGCTTTTGCTGCTTTGTTGATAAGACTTGCGGTTTATTATTAAGCAAAAATGTTTTTATGTTTTAGTTTCAGTTTCGTTTGCTACTTTAAGTTGTTTATTTGGTCAGGCCTTTTTATTTATTTGCGTTTCGTTATATTGATGAACTCTTTAAGTTGAAGGTCATTGCCTAGCCTAGCGAAAGTAAAGTCGCTTACAATCGCCTCTTTATTTGAAGGTTATGTTTTAAAAGTAGATTTGTATAAAATTTGTTAAAATAACAAAGTTAATTGTCCGTGCAATACACTAATACTATTATTCCAGGAAATTATCATTGAACTTTTCTCAAACAAAGCGAAATTACTCTTTTACCTAGAAGGTGTTGTGTTTAATGGTGGGTTAGGTTAGGTTATAGTGGTTGTCCCAGACAAGGTACGCACTTGGACAAATAGGAGATTGTCCCTTGTGATATCACGAAAACTGAAAGGAGACCTATTGTTCTCACGGCGAAACCCCACGAGCCGATTACGAAATTACGTGTGCAGCTGATTTTAACGCCAGGGAGCTTCTTCGGGGTTTACAGGAAGTGCGAGCCAAAATGTTTCCATCTTAGCCTCTTCACATCTGATACAGGAGGGATCAGATAGGAATCCCAAACGTACCAATCGCACAATGGCCTATCAGAACTCCCATCAACAGAGAGGCTTTGCAAGCATCTAACGCTCGCTGAGCTTTCATGTGGCCCGTGAAGAAGTTCACTGTTCCTTTCCTCCAGTCCTCCCTTCAGGGAATGTAGGTAGAGGCTACTATTTCTGAGGCGGGGTAATCAGTGGCTTTTGGTGCCACACTAATACCGGTAAAGGCAGTCCACAGTACACGCTCTAGTCGTTTAGGGAATGTAGCCTTCTCTAGCGTGTTCCACCGGGCAAGGGCTTCGTAGAACAAAATAGGCTCAGGTATGGTTTCATAGAGCCAATGAATTACTTTAGCTCACCCCTTTAGACGCATTTTTTGCCCTTTCCTCCACAAGTTTGCATAACTTTTAACAACAGTTCCAACCAATGTATATCTCCAGAATTGCACCTAACTTTCTTACCTAGTTGGATAATCTTGTTGACACATGTTAGCAAATTTGATAGTCTTTACTAACACAAAAAGAAATTTAAGATTGGCCAACTACGTCCAAAGAAAATTGCAAGTGCGTGTGCTTTTTTCATACCTCAAAACCCCGAAATTTTACTATATCTCAAAAACTGTTCTAGTCTCTTACATTTTGATTTCGTTTTCGGATTCAGTGGAAAATTTTCAATTAGGATGCATATAAAAATGTTGCAGTTCGGACAATTTTTTTTCATTTCTGTAAACTTGTGTTATTGCCGACAAAAATGCAAAGCGGTCCCGAGTGCTTTCTACGATGAAAAACTTGTAGTTCTTTTGCCACGCAAAAAAATAAGCCGTCGAAGTAAGCCAATTGCGAAAGAAATAAAAATGGTTCATTGTTTGAAAAATACAATAAAATGTTTTATAGTTTTCACCAAAAAAGCACGGATAAAGTTCTAATAGCTCAGCATTTTTTGATTCACATAAGTGTGATATGAGATAAGAATTTTAAGAAAGCTTGTGATTCTAAGAAAAAGGCTGAAATTTGTATGTTAAGAATCCCAAAATTGGTCCGAAAAGATGTTACGCATACTGTTTCAGGGAAAACAGTGTGGAAAAAAATTGCAAAATTATTTTTTGTCCCGTAATCGGCTCTCATAAATATGGTCACCGTAATTATTGTTTTTTCTTGTATGCTCTCTGCTCATACTACGGATGCGCTGTTTCTAATTCGACGCATCGAATAAATTCCGATGTATAATTTAATGCGATATTATTCGTGCCATCGATGTTTTTTATTCGATGTATCGAAAATCAGAACTTGTCATTAAAAGTGTTCAGCAACCAATTCTTTCACATACATACATATTTGTTTATCGACTCATAAGTATCAAATTTGTACAACTAACTTCTTTCGAAATATTTTACCAAAGGGGCACAATAAGAATTGCAAGCATATTTCGTTCATCAATTATTTAATTTATTTATTACACTGAACCTTATTAAAAAGGTTGTTTTCTTTAATTAAATTAAATTTTTGTATGCTTTTATTAATTGATACATCGCAAAACATCGATGTATTTTTTACGTGCACATCCCTACCTCATATTAAATATGCAACCTTGACCTATCCGAAATATTCAAATTTAAAGAAAAATATGTACTACATATGTATGTATGTATACTTATAATACATAAATAAATACACACAGCACTGAACTTGACCTTGAGTTGCATTATAACAACGTCCTTGAACTTTTAGCAGCTCGATTGTGAAAAAATTAATTTCATTAAACGCAGCAAAGTTATTTTTAGGATTTAAAAACGCCAGACGTCTGCCGCGCGAAGTAAATGTATTTTTACAATGAACGCTAATGGTTTGGTGTGTTTATTATGCCAGCGAGTGGAGTGGTTGTTGTGTCTGTTGTTGAACTTTGGCGCAGCATTGGGGCTATTGCTGTTACTGCCATGGCAAACAGTGGATGGGGGATAAAAAAAACTGTTGTCGGCACAGCGATAGCAGCGCTGCAATTAACATTGGCGTCTATTAACAGCGCCGACGATTTCTCTGTGAATGTGTGTGTGTGTGAAAAAAATAGAGAAGAGAGGAAAAACATGCGCTGTTGAGCGTGTTTGCAGAGCGCGTTGAGAGCTAACTTGTGCAAAGCGAACACGTTGCTTGCAGATTTGTTGCAGATGCGAACTCGAATTGACCGGCCCCTTCTAATACAAATTAACATTACGCCCCTTTCTTATTTTCAATTTCATTTTGTTTTAAATCTATTTACTCGTACATAAATAATTGCCTTTACTGACTTGTATTTCGTTTTTTTTTTCACTCGTTACAGCTACAACAAAAATGTCAACAACGCAGTGAAAACTTGAATTTGCATTCGTGTTAAATGTTAAAATAAAAAAAAATAAAAATTAAACTATAAAATGTAAAAGTTTGCAATTCTTTTAAAAAATTCACACTCACCTAAACATAACAAAATAAAGAAAGCGCACAATATCTGCGAAAGTGTTAGCAAAGCGCATGGTAAATATAATTACGCACATTTGGCAACAAAAGGAAGAACCAGCAAGCAGGCAAATCAGGAAGATAACAAAATTAAATTTCAAAAAAAAAAAAAAACCCTAAAACAAAATCATTACTTTTGGTGGTCAACATTCACATGTAAAAGTGGATAAAAAAAATTGCGCACGCAAAAATAATTTCTCTTAAAGAAACGTCGAGCGAAAAGCCTTCAAAATTAAACGCAACAATAAAAAGAAACCCCATAGCAATCATCCATCCAGTTTGATGAAAAACATGGACAAAAATTCCGGCGGCGACGGCAGCGATGGCAAATCGGGACTGGGTGGTGGCGGCAGTGGTAAGGCCGGCTCTAGCGCCAGTGGGAGCGGTGGAGCCGGTGTGCACGATCCCTCCGCATTGTTGGATGCCGCTTCGCTATTTGGTAAGTACTTGCACATACATACATACATACATACATATCTATTAAAGCAATTGTATAGCACCATTATTTTTTTTTTCGTTTTGTTTATCTACATACATAAAATTTCTCTTGTAACCTCACTTGCAGCTTACTGGGGCCGCGATCCAACAAGTGCCGCCGCAGCCGCTTCCAATCCGCTATTCAATTCGCAATTTAATGCTGCCGCAGCAGCCGGTCTGGGATTATTGCAGAATCCGGCTAGCGCAGCCAATGATCGCTATTCGATAGCAGCTGCTGCAGCAGCCGCTGCATCGCATCATCATCAGAACACCATGGCGGTGGCAGCATCTCAGGCAGCTAGTTTGGCTAGCCTGCACCCAGCAAGTGAGTTAAGCTGTAAGATCGTTGTAACTTAGTAGTGGGGAGATTGTGGGCGGGGAATTGGCGACTTTGATTATTTTATTTTTAATTTGTATGTTACTTTAATTGAATCGAATTCTAAAGTGCGGCTAACCGAAGTTATGGGTGCTTTAGTGAGTGAGCAAAGGCCATTGAGATACACGTGACTTATTTAGTTTTGTTTGGACATGTTCAAATTATAGTTTCTTGAAATTCCAGTGCATTCCATTATAGTTTTTCCAAATAATCTAGGAAACCAAAAATGCAACGCACGCCCGTGAAGAAAAAAAATATATAAAAAAAAAATATTGTCCTATGTTACTTTGGTCAGGGTTTTGGGAAATCACGATTGAAGTTTGGAATGTAATTTCTCAAAAACGCGACGATAGATTTTCTCCAAAGGCTTAAATAATTTTATTTTTATTGCTTATGGTTAATTATTTTTGAGTTTATGAAGGATTTTCTGTAGTAAACTTTCGTCGTAAGCGAGCGACACTTGTCAATAATTTTGCAGCCATTTTGCCGTATAATGTGATAACATTTTTTTTTCTAAGTTAACGATACTTTTTACTCAATATCTCGGAAACTGAAGGAGATCTCCAAAATGGTTGACGCCTTTCGAAAAATCTTGATTAATTTAGTATGACTACATTATTAATTCCAATCCTACTAAATTACCGATAAAATTGTTGAGCTCAAAAAGCTTGGCCTGGTCACACTGGTATCCAACTGTCAGACAACACATACAAACAAACATATTGAATTGTGTTCTTAATGTGCGCTGTATGGCGTGCTTCGCTTGTCTCTCTTCGTGGTGCGTTGGTTAGCGCTCTGCATTTGAAGGTGAAGAAGCGCGAGTTCGAGTCCCAGAGGGACCCTTAATAAAAAACACAAGTTAAAAAAAAATTAAATTTGATGACATTTAATTTAGGGAGTGAAACAGCAAACGCATTTGCATTTCGATTAGATGTCGTTTGAAGAAAACGCTCCGAGAAAAAATAGCCAGTGCATAACTTTCCCATCTCAGAGAACCCCATTGCTTGTGCAAATGTGTGGTTCTAAAGTTTGGAAATGTGCATACAATATTTTTTGTTTGTTTTGTAGAGTTATATGAACAAATTATAGATTAAAATAAATTTTTTTGAAAATTTTAAACTAAGCGTTTATTTTAAGATTTTTAGTTTCAGTCTTTCTAGTTGTAAGATTTTTAGCTGATTTTTTTTTCAGTTAATTTTTATTTTGTGATTTTATTCCAATTAATAATTTTAAGTTTTTATATTGTAAGTCGTAATTTATTAAATAAATTTAGTTTTTAAATAATTGCACATAATTAATTTACATATTAAAAAAAAAAAACAATATATTTTATTCGAAAATTAAGAATATAAAATTTAATTGCAAACTATTTTTTTTTTTAATAATTATAATTATTAATTTTTATTTTTATTCATTTCATTTTACACATCTTTTTCTTTAATTACTATTTTTTAATTTATTTTATTTTATTTTCTTATTAAATTTTTTTTTAAATTTAGTTTATCTTTATCTTTATTTAGTTGTTTGAGGTTATTCCTAAAAACATATTGCTGTTAAAAACACAATTCTTAAGCTTTATTAACTTTCCCTCTTTCTCTTCTCCCTTTCCTTTCTTCGACAGGCTGGTGGTCTATGGCCCAACTGGCAGCTCAAGACTATTTCTCCCGCCTGCAAGCGTCCGGCCTTTCGCCATTTGCGCATCCCGATGTGATGGCGGCCTTTGGTCCAGCAGCACTGGGTCTGGGTGGGGCGACTGGCGCAGGCGGTACGGGTGTGAACAGCGGAGGAGGTAGCGTGGGTGGACTGGGAACCGGTGCAAGCGGCAGCAATATGGGCAGCGGTAGCAGTTCATCGTCAAGCAGCAAATCGAGCAAATCCCGCAAAGAGAAGCGACAACAACAGCAGCAGCAGCAACAGCAACAACAGCAAAATTTAGCTGCAGCAGCGGCGGCGGCAGCAGCAGCAGCCGTTAGCGCTAACCCTGCTGCCGCCTTGGCTGGCATGCATGCCTTGAGCGCCGGCGGTTCGCTCAATCCCTCCTCAATGGGCATGGTGGGTAGTGGCAGCACAGGCAATACCACAGGTGTTGGCGGCAGCAGCGCCGGCAGTAGTTCGTCGTATAAAGTGAGTTCGTGTGTTGATGTGTGAAGTTTTGGTTTTAAAATCTTGTACTTTATTGTTAATGCATTTCCGATCTAACTAATTAAACTTGCAGTCAAGTTCAACCAGCTACAGCAAACCATCGGTGAGCCCGGTACTACCGCCGCCACCCGGTTCCGCATACGATCCCGTGCAATTGCATAAGGAACTAATGGCAATGCAAGCGGCAGCGGCATCTGGTGGCTCTTCCAGTTCCTCATCATCGAAGAAATCCTCATCACACCACCACACACAGTCACATCAGAGTAGCAGCAGCGGCGGCGGAGGTGGGGGCGGCAGTAGCAGCAGTGGACTGGGTATGTCTAGTGGCGCTTCCGGCTCGCTTGGCATGGGCGGTGGCGGTGGCGGCGGCGGCGGCGGCGGCGGCGGCGGCAGCAGCAGCTCCAATAAAAACTCTTCAATGAGCAGCGTCAGCAATGCGGCAATGCACCATTTGAGCGCGCTGGGTGGCAACGTTGGCGGTGGTAGTTCAACAGCGCATCACATCAGTGCGTTAATGTCGCCGCACGGCTCGTTGGGCGCCAGCAGCAGTATTGGTAGTGGAGGCAGCAATATGGGTGATGCTAGAAGTAGTGCTGGCAGCAGTAGTTCAGCTTCGAGCAGCAAAGCAGAGCGTGACAAGAATAACGCGTCGTTAAATGCGCTCAGTTCGCTGTCGCAATTCGGTGCACTTGGCATGAGTCCGCAGCAGAGTATGCAAGCGGCAATGAATGCATTTGCTGCCTCCAATCCAGCAGCGGCAGCCGCAGCAGCAGCAGCAGCATCGGCAGCGGCTAGCGGAGGCAAAAGTGGCAAGGATTACATGTCATCGGGTATACTCAGGTGAGTGGGAGGGAAGTGATATGGATTGTCTTGAATTTTATATCATATGAAGGATGTTATATTAATTGATATGTATGCAGTGGTGCAGATAACAATTTGTATGGTGTGGTGCTTGCAAATATTTTTGGTTTTTTTGTACATATGTTTTTGGTTTCAAATTTTGAGTTCTAATTTTTAATTTTTATTTTTTTTTTGTATTTCTTTCTCGGCAATTCGTACGATTTTGTCCGCAACAAACCAATGAATTTGCTCACTTTTATACACTCAAAAAATTACACCTTGGTTTTGCGTAGTGCTGCACTGGAAGGAAAGTAAGAACCTTCATTTTTTTATTAATACATACCATTTATCAATACTGTTGTTGTATACATGCATACATACATACATACACGTGCATTTCACACATATGTACATATGTTTACGTTTGGTCAAAAAATGGTTTCTAAATTTGAATTTTTTATATGGAAAAATTAATTTTTAAACGCAGATTTCAGTCGGGATATTCATATCCATATGTAAATATGTACATGCATCTGTACCTTCATTCATACATACATACATACATACATACATTTTCTATGTCATTATTTAGAATAAAAGCTAGATGCTATTTATTAGAGCTGCATGCGTAACTCAATTTCCTAGGCTATTCTCAAATATTCAAAAGTCCCTAGTTGACCGAGCTTTGCTCGGAGTGCATATACTTTGTAAAGCTTTCAAGTTTTGGATATCAAATAATGGTCATTTGGATAGCTTTAAAAAATATTTTTGGAAAAAATTGAAAAAAAAAATTGGATTTCGATATCTATTAAGTAAATTTCTTACTTAAAAATTTAGGTGGCAACACTATTTAGAAATACTTTGGAGTGAATAGTACATATCTTGAGCGTATATATACTGTGTATATATACAAAAAAATGCTGATTGAAATTAACAAAATAAATACATATTTGTAATACATAGAAGCGTGGCAACCCTGTTCGAAAATATGTTCAGACCAAAGTTCTCAACACTACCTTTCATTTGATATCCATATTGCGATGTTTTAGATAATTGTGTAGAATCGAAATTAAGTGGCAACCTTACACTAATACCCTAAGGGATAACACTTTGTTTATAAGGAAAGCTTTGATTAAGAACCTGCTCTTGGTAGCCATGTATAATAATATTTTATCTTTTTTTCTAAACAAAAAATTGCGATTCAAAATTGGTGGCAACCCTATTAAAAATATTTCTGAATTAGGGATTTTTAAAATACCTTCCATTTGATACCCATATTATGATATTTTAATTAATTTGTAACTAATTTAGAATAGGTGGCAACCTTATACGAGTCTTCTCGGAGATAATACCTATTCAGATAACCTTAAAATGCAAATCATTATCTGTGTACAAAATTTCATCAAAATCGTTAGAGCCGCAGAGTTTACGGATTGGCAAAAAAAAAACCAGTAGTCCTAAACTTATGCACCTTGGAGAACAAATATGGTCTACATCCAGACTCTCTAACATTATACCCTCCAAAACGCTTAATTTTTTAAGGATTAGCATAAGAGACGAAGCTAGGTCGCAGCGCTAGTATTCTTCCTCACTTAAACATTTCCTTCATCTCCTAAAATTGCTTATTTTATATATCGTGTTATCGCTATTCAATGCTTACACTCAGTGCCTTTCGCTTAGTTATAATTTATTTCATTTTATGTTCGCATCATCTCATTTGCACCTGGAATGCAACTCTGTGTGTGTATTGAAAAGTTATAGTTGAACTTGAATTAAACTAATCTTTTATTTTCTCCCTCTCCTCTCTCTCTCTCTCTCTCTGCCCACGCGCTCGTTCCCTCGCCATAGTGATCATCAATCTCTGCTGGGTGTACGCCTGCCACCCGATACGGAAATCATCAAATACACGTCGTCCATTGTGGGACCCAAAATACCCGGTACTACGTCACGTGGTCGCAAAAAGACTATTTCAGACGAACAACAACAGCAACAATTACTCGCACAACAACAACTTCAACAGCAACAACAATTGCAAAAACAAGAGCTCGACGCTACAACAAATGCACTTTCCTCTCTGCTTGCGATTCCAGGTCTTAGCCCGGCTAAGCGTGCCCGCCTCGAAATGGAGTACGCAGCAATGGCGGCGGCGGTGAATGTCGCTCAACAGCAACAACACCAACAGCAGGTGCAGGCCCAGCAGCAGCAGCAGCAGCAGCAACAGCAACAGCAACAACAACAGCAAGCACAACAGCAAGCGCAGCAACAGCAGCAGGCACAGCAGCAGGCGCAACAGCAAGCGCAACAACAACAGCAACAGCAGCAAGCTCAACAACAGCTGCAAGCGCAGCATCAGCATGCTTTGAATATTGCAGCCGCCGGTGGTTTTGGCGGCATTGGTGTTGGCGGCGGAAATGCAACCACCGCCGCACAGGCGGCCGCTGCTGCAGCAGCCGCGGCAGCTGCGCTTGGGCAATTGAGCGGTCCAGCCGCGGCGGCGGCGCTAAGCGCCAGCGGTCTTGGTATGGGCGCGCCGATGAGTCTCTCCAGCCTCAGTGGTTTAGGTGCGCTTAGTGGTCTAGGCAGTGTTGGCGCGCTAAGCAGCACCGGTCGCCTAGATCCACATTCGATGGGCCCCACCTCACTAAGTGCTACGCCCAGCAATAGTCGCGACTCATCAACAGATCGCGTAGAAGTGATAAAGCTGCCGCCCACAATCACATCGAATGGCGCCTACAACTTATCGAATAAAAATAAAGACTTGCTCGATCTGACAGGCGACAATAGCAGTGGCGCTGGTGTGAATCTCAGCATGAAGTCATCCTCATCGGCCACAGCGACGGCAACCAGTGCTGCCGCCGCTGCGTCGGCGCTCATTGGCACAGCTGCCAATCCCATTATGATCGAGGACTACGATGCACCACTGAATTTGTCAATGAAACCCGCTGACAAGCAGCAAAGTGCCGCAGCCAGCATGTCGTCATCAATGGTTGGTGGTAGCAGTGACTACAGCAGCCCGGTTAACATGGGCGGTACCGTGGCGGTGCCCTCCGGTAGTGGCGGCTCGAATAGTTTGCAAAGTTTAACTTCGATAACAGCAGCGCTGGGTGGCGGTAGCAGTACGCCGCTGCCAGGCAGTGGTGGTGCTGGCAGTAGTGGTGGCAATGCAGGTAGCAGCAGCTCAGCCGGTTCCAGTGGTGGTGGCAGCGGTGGTGAACGCTCGGGGCAACAGCCATTCAAAGAGGGACGGCCGCGCAATTTAGGGCGCGGCGTGTCTAAGCCGAAAAAGAATACAGTAGCCTCGTTGTTGGCACAATCGCGTGCAGTCGGTATAAAACCGATGCTGGCCACTCAGCAGTTGCTTCAGCAAGGCGCTGATTTGGTAAGTGAAATTGAGAATACTGTTTAGTGAAGTGGCAAAAAGTTTACAGAGTAGTTATTCCATCTTTGTTGTTTTTTTTAGGAGAAAATACGTCAGGCGCTCAATGAGGCGAACGCACAACTCGACCTTTCCACAGACTCTGAAAGCGTTGCGGCCGAAAGCGGTCTCTCCGAGTCCGAGAGTGAAGATGCAAACATTCTAAATGTGACCGAGCTGCGCGTGCCACTAGACTTGGGTTGGAAGCGTGAGACGGTCATACGTGGACTCACCAAAGTAGGCCAAATACGTGGCGAGGTAGTTTATTATGCGCCCGGCAGCACAATAGCGCTCAAGAACATTGGGCAAGTGATCTCTGTGAGTTTGTAGACAACTTTTTTCTAACTTTTATGCTATGCCACATGCATTGTTGAGTATGATAATTAAAATTTGAATGTTTACCTTTGCAGCATTTAGAGAAGAATCCATCGAAGTTGACGCGCGACAATTTCAGCTTCTCATCGCGCGCTATAGTCGGTTCATTTTTACAACCTGCACCGCCGCCGTACGCCAACGATGGCGAATACATACGCATGACCGATGAAGATGTGGCTAAGCGCTTGGAGGATCTAAAAATTTTTACGCGCCAAACTTTAAATGTGGAACAACGCATTGAAATCGCTAAGCAACAACAAGCCATACGCGATGCAAAAAAGCAGCAAAAAGAAGAGATGGCACGCAACAAAGAAAAAGCACGGCAGGAAAAAAACGAGAAGCTTGAGCAGCAACGAAAAGAAAAGGAGTTAAAAAACCAGCAAATGATTGAGGTGAGTAGGGGTGGTGTTTAGCGAATTGTGTAAGGGCGTATGAGGCAGGGTAGGGCATAACACGCATTTGACAGGAGAGATTTTCGAAAAGCCTGGAGGTTAAAGAAAAAGGGTAAAAGCTTATTATTAATTTTTACTTAACACTACCCTTTTTTCTTTTGCAGGCGCGCAAGAAGCGTCAAGAAGAACTAGAACGCATCAAACAAGAGGAGCTGCTCAAGAAACAACAGGTAAATTGATTTAAATATTTTCTATTTTAAAATGTTTAATTTTGCGCATTTTTGCAATTTTAATAAACAAAATAAAAACATTTTATTATAAATTTAACAAATTGAAATTGAATATTAATTATGCAATTTTCATTTGTTTATTTTATTCTTTTAGGAAAAAGAAAAGAAACGTCAAGAAGCTATTTTAGCTAAAGAACAGGTATTAGCTGAGTACATACCTTTTCTCTACGCTTAGTAGTGTAGTTAGCAGTTTTTTTTTTTAAATATTATTTTCAAAATTTGACCGCACAAAATTTCAATTTATATTACTTTATTGTTTTTTTTTTTTGTTTAAAAGAATAGCAGTAGGCTCTTGAAATCAGCTGAGATCTGTGCTTTCTAAAAGCTGTTATTTTATAAAAGAAGCGTCTAAAAATATGCAACGAATATATTGCGCTTTGTGGCTTAAACTCATACTTACAAAAAGTTTGCATACTTTTAGGCATACCTTAGCTACTTTCAGTATCTTACTGCAGCTACTTCGCACTGTCCAATAGTGTTAAACATTTTTATTTTTTAGCCGTTGTTTTCTTGAAATTATGTACACCTGCTTAGTTACATACACACATACATCTGTATAGAAAAAACTAAAATAATTTCCAGTCTAAACTTTGCTTTTTACACATCAGTTTTTAGTCCTTTTCCTTAATTAGTTTGCCCTTAGTTCTAGTATTTTATATTTTACATCACATACATACATATTTACGCACCTAAAGTTTAAATAATTTTTTTTTCTATTTTCAAAATTTCACCTGTAGGAACTCCAAAAACAGAAAGAAGCATTACTTGCCGCCGAAATGGTGAGTAAAAAATTGTTTTTGGAAACTTTTACCAACACAAATTATAACTTTTTCCATACCATTTGCAGGAACGTGAACGCCGTCGTCAACATATGGCACTTGTGCGCCAGCTGGAGGCGCGCCGCAAATTTGTAGAGCGCGAAAAGAAGAAACATCAAATGATTTTAGATCGTCTGATATTGCGTGAGAAGCGTTTAGCAATTAAAAAGCGAGATTCAGACATTTTGGCACAATTAAGGTGAGGTGCTGTCATAAAAATTTACAATCAAACCAAACATGGAATAAAGCAGGCGAAGAAAGCGAAGACTTCTACATAAAATCAATTCATTTTCTTAACGCTCGTTTTTTATACTCTCTCTTCCACACAGAAAACCACAGGAAGACTCTGAAGTTGCACATCCTCATGAGTTACCAGAATTGGAACGCATCGGTGGCAATCGTTTGCCGGGTCAAGCTATGGCCGATTTACTGATGGTATTCGAGTTCTTGCATAACTTTGGTGAAACCTTAGGATTTGGTGAGTACCATAGCAATTAAACTCTTACCAAACAAAAAATTCTCGAAATTATAAATTTCTTCCTCGCCTCTTGCAGACATGGAGTCACTTCCCTCCCTGCAGAATCTACATGNTTTCTCGAAATTATACATTTTTTTTCTCGCCTCTTGCAGACATGGAGTCACTTCCCTCCCTGCAGAATCTACATGACGCTCTCATGAGTGACAGTAATCCCGACGCTGAGGAGGAGATGCTATCTGTGATGACCCATCTGTTGGTGTGCGCCATCGAAGATCCGGGCATTCCCAATCCCGGCCGCCACACCACACTCCTCGGACAATCGCTGCGCAACGCCGACATTACCAACTCCAATGTTTCGGAGATTCTACGCATTTATTTATACGCCACCGCTACCGGCGAAATACGCCAGCTACATGGCATAACAATGGATCGCGAGCGCGAACGTCGCATTCCCGATCATCATCAAGTGGACACCGAGACTTCCTCCCATTCGGGCAAGAACGCCGAATACTACAGATTGTTGCATGAGAACGAGACGTGGAAGTTATCGCATTCGCTCAAGAATCGTCCCTTCGTCGCATTGAATCCCACAAGAAAGGCACAAATACTGGCACATCTTTGCAACGATTTGCTCATGAATAAGGCTGTGTTGAAGCAGATCGATGGCAGCTTGGAGACATGCGCGCAAATGCGCAAGGAGAAGTATATGACCGACATGAAGGTGCGCAAGTACAAGGCACTGCATCAGCGCAAGGCGCGCATCGAGGCGTACGAGAAGGCGCAAGCTGAACGCGAGGCAGCCATGCAAGCGGCCATTGTAGCACAGCAGAAGGCCGACGCCGAACGCATACAAAAGGAGGCTGAAGCAGCCGCTGCGGCGGCGGCTGAAGCGGCAGCAAATGCAGCGGCGGCAGCTTCGAATGCCGAGAAGACAGAAAAGGAGACGGGCGAGGAGAAGGAAGGTGACAGTGGCGACGCTGCTACTGACGCTGCAGTTGAGAGTACTAATGGTGGTGATGCAATGGCCAGTAGTAATGCTAACGATGCCGAAGTAACGCCGGAGAGTGCGATCGAGCACAATAACAACAGCAGTGTTACCAATAATGGCGATACCCCCCACAAGGAGGACCAAGATTTAAAAGCTCCACAGCCTGAGAATATGGATGTAGATGGCGATGCGATTGCTTTGAATAACGGCGACGGCGAGGGTGACAACAAGGAAAAGCCATTGCCCATACCAGCCACACCAGACGTAGATGCTGCTGTTGCGGTCAATGACGGCAGCAATGTTACAGACGTGCCGCTGCCTCTACCGCCAATGCTGCCAACGCCATCGTTGCCCAGCGTTTTCGACAGTCTTAAATACGACGTGAGTCCCACAAAGAGCTACACCAGCGAAAACTCGGTTACGCCCAGTAAACAGCCAAAGCTAGATGACTCAGCACTGGCTACACCTACCTATCAGAATGGCGTTGGCAGCATGCCGCCAGACAATTTGTCGGGCGTTTGTGCGCCAACGTCGATCACCAATGCAGCCACACCGTCCGAGTTGAATAGCAACTTGCTGCCGAAGAAGACTGGCAACGACGACGTGCCAGCCGATGTGGGCATGGATGATGACCTCAGCGATCTAGAGTCGGAGATGACGAACGCTGACGAGGACGAGGACAATCGATTGAGTGCCGATGAGCTGCAGAAGAAGCTGGACAAGATATTGCGCGCGTCTATGAACTGCAAGGAGCTGCTCGAGAAGAGTACAAATCAGCTGCGCGCCACTTGTTTCGGGCAAGATCGTTTCTGGCGGCGATACTGGAAGCTGCCGAAGGCGGGCGGTATATTCATCGAGGCATTGGAGTCGGCACAAAACGACATTTTCCACTATCAGGAAGTGTTGGAGGCAGAGGCGGCAGAGAAGCGTGCAGCTAGATTGGCAAATGGTGAAACTGAGGCTAAGGATGAGTGCAAGGAGGAGGAAGAGACTGCAGCGGAAGGCACCAAGGTGGAGGGTGGCGATGAAAATGTTAATGGGGACTGCAAATCGGAAAGTAAAATCGCCAGTGCTGCAGCCGATGAAGGCAAAATTGACGAAGCTACAGGGTTAGCCGTAAAGGAAGGGGATGAAAATATGCAAGTTGACAGCAGTGCTACGATGACGACGGCCAATACAGCTGCCTCGAACATCAACACCAATGGCAACGTGACAGGAGTCACATCCTCGGCAGTCATAGACGACGAGGACGATGATGTCGTGCTGACTAGCAAGGATGAGCCGGAGATTGTCGATTTGCGCGATGACGACGACGATGATGACGTTGTGCACACAGCCACNTCGGAGATGACGAACGCTGACGAGGACGAGGACAATCGATTGAGTGCCGATGAGCTGCAGAAGAAGCTGGACAAGATATTGCGCGCGTCTATGAACTGCAAGGAGCTGCTCGAGAAGAGTACGAATCAGCTGCGCGCCACTTGTTTCGGGCAAGATCGTTTCTGGCGGCGATACTGGAAGCTGCCGAAGGCGGGCGGTATATTCATAGAGGCATTGGAGTCGGCACAAAACGACATTTTCCACTATCAGGAAGTGTTGGAGGCAGAGGCGGCAGAGAAGCGTGCAGCTAGATTGGCAAATGGTGAAACTGAGGCTAAGGATGAGTGCAAGGAGGAGGAAGAGACTGCAGCGGAAGGCACCAAGGTGGAGGGTGGCGATGAAAGTGTTAATGGGGACTGCAAATCGGAAAGTAAAATCGCCAGTGCTGCAGCCGATGAAGGCAAAACTGACGAAGCTACAGGGTTAGCCGTAAAGGAAGGGGATGAAAATATGCAAGTTGACAGCAGTGCTACGATGACGACGGCCAATACAGCTGCCTCGAACATCAACACCAATGGCAACGTCACAGGAGTCACATCCTCGGCAGTCATAGACGACGAGGACGATGATGTCGTGCTGACTAGCAAGGATGAGCCGGAGATTGTCGATTTGCGCGATGACGACGACGATGATGACGTTGTGCACACAGCCACAATTCCGGCGCCGGACATCTATGGCTTAGCTAAGAAGCCACATGTCGACGCCGCAACAATTTCCACTAAAACCGACTTTGAGGCGGAGATCAAAATACCCGCCATACCAGCGCAATTCAATGCAGCGATTGCCGCTGCTGCCGCCGCCGCCGCTGCTGCTGCTGCAGCAGCTGCCAATGCGAACGCGAATGCGAATGCGGCAAATGTAAATGCAATCGGTGAAAAAAACTGTGATAAGAATGAGTTTGCAATGTTGACGCCCTCGCCGTCGCCCATGGGAATGACGATGCAAATACCGACAATGACGCCAACGCCTACAATGACGCCCACGTCTACGCCGACATCAACAGCCATGCCGTTGCCAATGCCATTGGCATTACCTTTGTCTCTGTCATTGCCGTTGCCGCTGCCATTATCAACGCCGGTGCAAGTGTGCAGCAACAGCACCGTGGTCAGCTGCAGCAACAGCATACTCAGCGTGCCCGGCATCAGCACCACTGCCGTTAGTAGCTTGGCTGGCTTTGATGTGAGCAGCACCACCGCAGCCACCATCGACAGCGTTGCGAAGGCAGAGGACTTAAAAAAGGAGGACGACTGCATTATTGTCTCGGCGACAAGCGGTGATGACGCACTCTTCAAACAGCCGGTAAATGTCACAGATAAGTGGTTTTCAATACTCGATCGTGAATTGCCATTGATGACGACCGAACCGTTGGACGAAGCCAGCCTCAAAGAGTATAAGATGGCTTTCGCAAATGTCTCATGCGACTCTCTCTTCCAGACGCAAAACAATCCGTGGGAGGTGCAGAATGTCGTTCAGCATTTCAACGTGACTTTAGACGATTGCAAAGTGGACCCAGCCAAGTTTGTGCAGGAATGCATTCTGTCACTTTCCGGGCTGGATGAGAAGCAAATGGAAGCGAAGATACGTGAGTACGAGCAGAAGATGTTGCTGGCAGCGGCTGCGGCAAGTGAAAGCGCAGACGCCGAGGCCAACGAGGCATCACCGACAGAGTCAAAAAACTGCCTAGAGTCTCCTCGTCAGCGATTGAAAAGTGAGGAAGCGGCGGAGAGCGGTGATGAGGAGGAGGACGAGCAAAAGTACGAGAGTGATTGCAAACCATCCACGTCTGCGGCAGCTGCGGCCGCCCACTTGTCATCGTCGCCCGCTATTAAAACCGATATGCCAGCGAAAAGTGAAGGCAACGAAGAGGAGCGCGCAGAAGACAAGAAGTTTTTTCCTTTATTGAATGACACAAAAATGGACTGTAGTAGCAGTTTGGAGTGTAAGCCGAGCAAAGACGCCATCGATGGTGCCGCCGCTGGTGAAGCCAAAGAGAACGACTTCAATACAGTCAGACTGGAAATACGCATGGATGACATAGCTGGCATGTCCATACAAAACCTGGCAAACATGTCGCTGCAAAATCTTGCCACATTTCTGCAATACGATGTGCAAACGCCGCTCTCCATGACGCCAGAAGAACAAAAGCTGTTGGAGAAAGTGAAGAAGGAGGGCTATCCCAAGAAGTTGGAGGGCGCCTATGTGCCGCGCGATCTGCGCTACGGCTGGTGGAAATTGGACACATTCGAAATGCTGCAACGCGTTATCGATTCGCTCGACCCGAATGGGTTGCGCGAACGCGACCTGCAAGATAACCTCATGCGCTTCATGCAGCAGGAGGATCCCAGCATTGGCATGAAGTATCCGCTGGCAAGCAAAGCTGGCGAAAAAGTGTCCTATTTGGAACCCGACAAGCCGCACGATTGGAATCCTAAGATAGCCAAGCGCACCGAACTAGCACTGCTCGATCAACTAGAAGCGTTGGAAGATAAAATCGCCAGCGCCTCAATGCAACTTAAAAATTGGCAGCTGCCACCGCGTCTCGAAAATGAGCTCAATCTCGAGCTGGAAGATATAACCGAGGAGGATTTTATCAGCATCATACCAATGCTACGTGAACGCATCATCGATCTGGAGGCCAACATCGAGCGTCGTTACTTGAAGCCGCCGCTTGGCTCTCAAACGGGTGATGCGCATTTAGCGGTGATCGCGCAGAATCAACACACCAGCACACAGACACAAAATTCGGCTGCCGCTGCTGCATTCCTCATACAAATGCAACAACAGCAGGCTGCTGCGCAACAACAACTCATCAATATGCAACAACAACAAACGCAGAATGTAATCAATGCATCGGCGTTCAATGAGCGCGCCATGGCAATCGCGGCAGCCAATGCGGCTGCAGCCGCTTCTGCTGCAGGCAATGCGAGTGGTGGTGATGCGTCGGGCGGCGGTGGCGGAAATACCGCCAATACCAGCGGCAATAATTCGGGTGGCGATTCGCCAGCGAGTAACTGCGACAGCGAAAAGGACGAGAAGGTGGAGAATATACCGAAGGGTTTGGCATCGTGGCGGGATGCAGTGTCGCGCTCGCACACAACAGCACAGCTAGCAATGGCACTTTATGTGCTTGAATCGTGTGTGGCGTGGGATAAGAGCATAATGAAGGCGGTAAGTGGATTTGCAAAAAGTGAGAAAAATGCAAAATAGAAATAACAGGAAAGATGAGCGGCGAATACTTTTGTTTGTATATTTTTTATTTTTACTTATTTTTTTTGTGGTATTTAAACGCCTTTGTGACACACACACACACACACACACAGACAAACATGTGTACGACACGACTCCCAAATTGTGCTCGCTGCCATCGTTTGATGTAGGATTAATATGCTGTAATATGTTGTTGTTGTTACTTTTATGATTTTTATGTACTATTTTTTTTTTACTTATTTTTTAATGCATTTGATAGTTTTTTGATTTCTCACAAGAATTTATGACTTATTTTTGGTTTAAACTTTCATTTCATTACTACCACTTTTATCAACCTTATTCATACATATACATATATATGTAAGATAGAAAAGCATCAGAAAAAGCGTGAAGTCACACTATATATAGATGTATATATTGGGCTTTTAGAGAAGTTCAAATATTTCGAATAACTAATTCAAAACCAAGTATTGAATCCGAATGATTTGCTTTTCGAATCGCAATACAGAGTAGATCCCCTTCTAGATATTCGATCCACTGAAATTAGTTCCCAAATAGTAGTGTTGGGTTTACTTTTGAAAGTCGAGTCGGTCCAAGTTTGATCTGAAGGTCGCAAAAACCCTCATTTAGCCTCAGCTTTCGTCTGCCATATTTCTGCAGCGTTTTTCAAGCCGAACTAACAGCAATCAATGAAGCTTCAAGATGCCTAATCGATTCTCCTATTAATATATGCATGCAGTAACTTCTGCTAGTTAAGCTGCTATTAAAGCTCTAAATTGTCACAAATCTACATGGAAGATTGTCATGGAATGCAGACGTACTCTAAATGAGCCGGCAAGGAGTTACGCCACTCATATTGTATGGGCAGATGAACTACAAACGAAAGGTATCTTACTGTCTGAGGGATGCCATGATAACCTAACCTAACCTAAGCTTCAAAGTCGAGTTTTAAATAGTATAAAGAGCATACAGTTCCATCAAGTTTTTCTCGATCCTTGAAAATTCAATTATATTGCAAGACGCAAATCGTCTTCGAGTCGGTCTCATCGAAAACGAAAAAAGTGGGAGAACCTATGACTACATACATGTGGACCATTCATAGACAGATGGGCCTCGAAGCTGCAATCTAAACACCTAGAATCACACATTATATTCAGCCCTGAGGAACACGCACCTGACCTAACCTTACATTCAGTTTGCGTAAAATAAAAGCTTACATCCATTTAGGTCAGGCAATCTTATTGTTTAATAATGTGAAGCGAAGACCACAAGATAGAGCCCTTCTCAAATCTTATGAGTACTATAGACATATGTATATGTACATATGGAGTATTATTTGCAAATTCATTTCATATCTGCCTGAATTGAATTTGAGATCAAAGCTTCTAAATTAAAGCATCATAACTTATTCCAAAGAAATTTCAGAAGTATTTTCTTTCTGAAGTATAGACAAAATGAGTGCACATTTATGAAAAAAAAAATCCGTATGGTATAAAGAATTAATCTTTTTGAAGAATATAATCAATAAAGATACGCTCCGATTCACTTGAATAGGGACAATGCTTTTTCGCTATTTTTTCTGGGCAAATTTTCTTTTATTTTAATTTCTATTATTTTTCAATTAAAATACAGTTCATTCCCTATCAAAAAACATAATAACACAAGTCTCATTTGTAGAAAGATTAAACAAATCATCAAAATAGTAATAAGCATCAAATAGTAATAGCAATTTTCACATAAAAAAATTGCGAAAGTCAGTAAAAATTTTTCAAAAATAAGCTGTAATTCGTAGTTCATCCAAACTTGCACTTAAAAAAATGTAAAAATTCTAAAAAGAAAATAAAATTTTGTTGAAAATTTATTTATTTTTTTCTACAAAGTTTCAAACTTCTGTTAACATGGTTTTTATTAGGGAATAAACTGAAATTTGAATTAGAAAATAATGAAAAATATAACACAAAAAAAAACGAAAAAGCGGTGTACCTATTTAAGTGCTGGGAAGTGTATTAAGGTGCCTCAAAAAAAAGTTGCAGTTTCTTGATCGGAATTATAAAGTTTATTGTATTTTAAGACTTCTACCAAACTATTTCGGTAAAATAATAAGATTTACGTAAGCTGGATCGATTTTGAAATACCTCCAAAAAGCTCACTTTGATTCCGTTGGTACAATTTTAAAAAATTTTTATGCAGACTTGGAAAAAATGTTTCTTTAAAACTAATTTTATTTATAAAACGCTCGTAGTTTGGAGCTACTTTCAAACGGGCAGAGCTCAAGTAAATTTTAATATTTTGGCGGATGTATTAAAATATAATACATTTTATAATTCCGATGGAAAAACTGAAACATTTTTTTTTGGTGCGGCACCCTAATGTATGTATTTTGAGCTTATTTTTAATGATTATTTTTTTGTTGTGCCTTGGATAACCTTGGGAAGCACAATTTACATCAGATTACATGTTGGTCTCATTTGGAGACGGGTGTCGCACAAGGGGCAAAATCCAGATTCCTCTACGGAGACTAAAAAAATTAAAAATATTTTTTTTTTCGTCTAATAAACGAAATTGATAGTACGAGCCAATTTTTATTTTGCTTTGCAATGCCACATTCATTCATTGATTCATAATCCAGTATAGAATTACAAATGGAATACTAGGCAAACGAAATACTAAATAAAATAGTATTAGGTCCAACTAAATCGCTATCCCTAAATGTTTTAAATTTTTGGTTAAAACTTTTTAATCACTTCTTTTTTTAAATTATTATTTTTTCTTTAAACTTTACTGAGCTTATCGTTATTATTATTTGTTTTCAAGTAGTAGCTGGCTTAGCAAGTTTATTTAGTTAAAAATTCGCTACCCTGCTTTTTGTAGTAGTAGTTGCTGTCGCTTTGAAAAACAAAAAACAAAAAAAAATTTAAAATTGCCTGTCTCTCGATTTTAATCAAAATTCGTTAAAACTAATTGCATAATTTTTCTTTCTTTTTTCCTTTCATTTCTTTTTATAAACTTTGGTAACGCGATTAATTGTTGTTGTTTTTGAAACAAATTATATCAAAACAAAATTTAAAAACAAAATCAACTGAATACATAAATTTTAAACGAATATTTAATTAATATGTATGTATGTGAATGCCAATACATTATATACTCGTATATGTACTATGTGTAATGCGATTTATATATAACAAATTATTACAAAAATTCAAAAAATTAAATAAAATATGCGTCGAATATGCATTTCAACACGCTTTTTCTGTTCAATGCTTGCGCTCGCTCGTGTCGTTTGTTGCACGTTGCTATTTACAATAAAAAAATAAATATCTAAAATTTTAAATTAATGAAACAAAAACTTTGTACTATGAAAACTAAAACACTGTACTAAATTTTGGTGAATTGTTATTTGGATAAATGATACACTGACATATGGCTTGTCATGCTTTTATGCTATTAAAACTAAATGAACATTTCACTCATGCATTCCAACACTTGCTCACAATCACACATACACTCACTACCCACACACTGACCGCTAAAAAATATGACATTTGGCACTTTATGGCACGCGCCATAGGAGCCAGCGAAATCGAAAAACGCAAAGAAAGATAAAAAGCCTAAAGCTAAGGAGGACAAAACAACCAAGACAAAGGCGACAAAAAAGAATGCGAAAGCGACCGCCAAAAGCACTCCAAAAGCCACCACTCCCAAGGCGGCAAAGAAAAATGTGCCGAAATCCAAAGCGATGACGCAAAGTTCCAAACTGCCAGAGGCGGCTGGCAAGCTAAAGAGTGAGAGTCAAAAGCCACAAGCAGCGGCTGAGAGCGCGTCCTCGAGTCAAGTAGCTCAGACTCAAGGCCAAACGCCTGCATTATTATCGCCTCAAACGCAAGAAACGCAGACAACGCCATCCGCGCGCTTCAAATACCAACGCAAAGCAAAGACACCCACCAGCGGTTTTGTGATCAGTTATGCCGAGCCGCCGAGCCCCAATAGCGACGAGACGCCCACGGAAGAATCTAGCAACAGCAGCGCGAGCGCTCGTGAGGCGCAACACGCAGCGGCAACGGTGGCGGCGGCGGTTGAATCGACAGCCTCACTGACGGCCAGCGAACGTGGCGCGGATACACAAAGTGGTGATGAAAAGCTGCAGCGGCAGCAGTCCACACCCAAGTCACACAAGCGCGCCAAATCGCACAAGCATAAGAAGAGCAAGAAGAAGAAGAAGCACGAGATGGAGGCGGGTAGTGGTGGTGGCGATGGCGATGGCGGGGGTGAGGAACAAGCAGATGAGGTTGCAAGTTCATCACGCATGAATGGCGTTGTGATCGCTACGAGCTGCGTAGAAAATGGTGATGGAAGCGACATGGCCGCTAGCGCGGGTGGTGAGCATGAAGCTGGCGTAAAGCCGCCATTAACCACCACCATCAAATTCAATATGAGCGCGCAAAGCAAGCCGAATGTGAAAAAGACGAAAAACGCCAGTGGCGGCAAGAAGCACAAGCGGCGCAGATGAGTTTGCATGCAAAAGGAGCCAGGAAAATTCTTAAACTAAAAAAAAAAAATTATCAACAACATAGTACAAATTCGTGTGACTCCCTCCGCCTATTCGTGGCTCGTTTTCTTCTTACACAATACACGTACAAGCGTATAGTCGTTTTTTTTTTAACTAAAGTAGTTTAATTATTATATGTAACTGTAACAACAACAACAACATTGAATAGTGTTAGGTAAAAAATAATAAAAAAAAAAAAAAATGAAAATACAGCAAAAATAAACAACAAAATTTAGGTATGTAGCTGCCACTAGTCAATGAGTACAAATGTCTGTATGTGTGTCTGTACACTAGCAAGTACAACTACAACTGTAGCAACAACAACATATAACATCAATCTCCTCCTCTTCTTCTTCCATCACGCATCTTCTCTCCGACGTGTATCCTAATATTGCACCCATTTACAGTATTGCCAGTTTTGCACATCTGGCGAGAATGAGGACAAGCTGCTGCTATGCGACGGTTGCGACAAAGGCTATCACACCTACTGCTTCAAGCCGAAAATGGACAATATACCCGATGGTGATTGGTGAGTAATTGCATTTACTAATAAATAGAGTAGTATTTATGTACATGAGAGCGGATCGAAAAGAAAGTCGAAAAATCTACCCTATATTTGCATCTATGTATGTATGTAGTGAGGTATGTAAATCTCTGAGTATATTGGCATGGCAATTCTGGCAACTGTCTTTCAACTCCTGCGGTGAGTTGAGTAAGGCTAAATGAAAGATTTGCTAACGGGCAGGTCTTTGCTTTATTCTGTTTATCTTTTAGCAATAAGTTTTCTGAAGTTTTAATTAAATAAAGAAAAAAATAAATATTTTTTTCTTTTTAAATAATAAAAACTAAAAATCAAAGAAAATTTTGTTTAAACAAATAAATACATAGATAAATAAAACATTGTAAAAAAATGTGTTTCTTAAAACAATACAACCTAAAAATTTAAAAAACATCAGATTAAAGAAGAAAAAATAAATAATATAAGTAGAAATTAAATGAAATTAAAAAATATTTTTCTTTAAAAAAAAAATTTTAATTAAAAAAAATAATAATTAAAAAAAAAATAATACTAAAATTTAAAAAAAATCAAATAAGTTTCTTAAAATTAAATGCAACTTAAAATTTGTTTTCTATTTAAAACAAAGTCTAAAAATTCCAAAAAAAAACAGGTTTAAAATTTTTTTTAAATATTTTTCTTTTTAAAACATTAAAATCTAAGAAATTTAAATTTAAAAAGCAACGGAAATTAAAAAAAAAAGCGGAAATACATAAAAAGAAAATAAAATTGTAAAAAAGGTTAAATTAAAAAAGAAAATAATTAAAATAAAAAAGGGAAAAATAAAATAATTTCCTAAAAAATAATTGGAATAAAAATAATAATTTTCTCTTTAAAAAGGAACAATAAAAATATTTTATTTTTAAATAAAGATCGGATATTAAAAATATCTAATAAAATAAAAAAAAAACTCACGGTGGTCTTTAAAATAGCAGCTATAACTTCAACCGCTTAGACCTTGTTGCTTTTTCCATTTTTCCTAACAAACAAATCGTGATACAAAGCTCAGTAACATTGCTAAAAAGTAAAAGAATATTTAGATATATTAAAAAATCCAAATTTTTATTTTAGCAATAATAAAATATAAAAATTAAAAAAAAACTAAACCAAAATTTAATAGAAAAATAAAAATTCCGCTGCGCGAGGTTTCGAACCTCGAATCCCTCGAATGACTCGCCAATGCTTTGCTCAAGTGCTTTCTTCACTATAAAAGTTGGCAGGGGAGCTTTTTTGTAAGACTTTCGTGCCAGAGTAAATCAAATCTTTTAAATTATCTTGCCTACTACCTTTTTAATAGTCTTACAAAAGACTTTCAACTGTCGTTCGCTCAAAGTTTCGTTTCCTCGACTATTCTCTCTCTACCTCTTGCCACATACAGCAACTTTTTCGCAGCGATTTAAGGTTAATATTGAGATTAAGGCTAGTTTTAAGATTATGATTAAGATAGGGACTGTAGAAGGAAATGAACAAGAAATGCATCGAGAAACGTCTCACTTCCGCAATGTAGATCAGGCGCACTAATTTTTTAGCGTTTTTAAATTCCTTTTCCACAGTCCAGCTCGAAGTCGTCATTTAGTTATTTCTTTGTATTTTTATTTTCTTATTTGTTCTCATCAATAATTTTTAAACCCTCTGCCATTTTCTTTTTTTATTCCGCACCTTTTTCAGGTATTGCTATGAATGCGTCAATAAGGCGACAAATGAGCGCAAATGCATTGTTTGTGGCGGTTTGCGACCAGCGCCCGTCGGCAAAATGATCTATTGTGATTTATGTCCGCGCGCCTATCACGCCGACTGCTATATACCGCCGCTGCTGAAGGTGCCGCGTGGCAAGTGGTATTGCCACGGCTGCGTCACGAAGGCGCCACCACCGAAGAAGCGAACCAGCAGTAAACCGCGACGTGACCGCGATTCTTCGAAACGACGGGATCGCCATAGCAATTCATCGTCGTCGTCGAATGTTGATATCCAGCAACAACAACAACAACAACAACAGCAGCAGCAGCAGAACCAGCAGCAAAATCATCATCAGCAACAACAGCAGCAGCAGCCACAACAGCAACAGGTTGCGGTTCTAGCGCAGGCGCAGGCCATGGCAGCTGCCTCGGCGGAACACCACCTGCACAATTCATCACAGCTTTTGCTGAATTCGTCGCATGACGAGTCAATGAACTCGCTACCGACGCCGCTCAGGTAGGTCGCTCAGGCAGCGCCGCATGTCACGCCTGACGTTACTAACCCGCCTCTGGTATTTGCAGTCCGACGCATTCGATTGCTTCCACCTCGTTCGATGAACATCACAATAATTCGATCGATGCGATGCGTTTCCAGCCACACAACACAACCAGCAACAACCACTACAACAGCGCTACAACAACCACCACAACAACAGCAGCCACAACAACAAATGGTTGGCGGCAATGCTGCATTGGGAGGAATGGGTATGGGGGTAAGCGCTGATTTAGGTGTTGGCGCGCCAGTAGGTATGCTGCCAGATGCAAATGCAGCGGCTGACACCACACCACCAGCACTAAATAACATCCACGGCACACATTTGACTAACAACGATTACACGGCAACGGATGCCTGCGCAGATGGCGCTCAGTCAGCGCCGGTCTTACATTCAATGCCCAGCGCCGACTTGCCGCTTGCGGTGCCAATTTACAACAGCGTAGCACCCGACTACAAGCATTCAAAGCTTTGTAACAACTCAATCACAGCTGCCACAGTCTTTACCCGATAGTGGCACGTTATTTCCACACTTGACGCCAACCCTACCAACAGTAAGTACCGCGACTGGTGGTATAGGCAATATGAGTGCCACTAACTACCTGCAACTAACGCTCAGTCAGCACCACCAACTTGCCCAGCTGCAGATGAATAGCAATGGCATAATGCAGCTACCTCCGCTACCGCCGCTGCCGTCTTACAACACAGCCGCTCAGTCGCCGTTGCCACCGCCATCGCTGGTGCCGCCCACCAGCGCCATTAGCACTTCGCCACAACCCTCTGCATTGCTACCGCTCATAATGCCGCCAACTTCCATCACAGCGCTGAGCCAACAACAGCAACCACAACAGCTGCAGCAGCCACAACTATCGCCGCTAATGCAGTCATCGATTATGTCGCCGCAGCAAAGCAGTAACCATGCACCCACAGCTGCCATGCAGTCGCCACGTGCCAGCACACCTACTTTGCACTCGCCGCAAACGATGGGGTCCTACTCGCAGTCACAGTCGCCGGCAGCGCATCAGTTTGGTGCGCTCTCGCCAATGAGTCAATGTGGCACACCTCAGCCATTGGCGCCGCCGCCCTTGAACATACACGCCGTTCAAGAGGCGAAGGAGAAGCTGAAGCAAGAGAAAAAGGAGAAGCATGCAACGAAGAAGCTCATAAAAGAGTTGGCTATCTGCAAGACATTGCTAGGGGAAATGGAGGTAAGCAAGCGTGGTGGGGTAGAAAAGTTGTGAGAGGAGTTTTTGTTTTTTTTTTAATTTTCTCATCTCTTACAGCTGCACGAAGATTCGTGGCCATTTTTATTGCCAGTAAATACTAAACAGTTTCCGACTTACCGTAAGATTATTAAAAATCCCATGGATTTGTCAACAATCAAGAAACGTATACAGGACTTAACGTGAGTAATATTACCTTTTGCATTTTTTTTTTGTAAGTGGAAATCCTTCCACTTTGTTAGGGTAAAAGAGAGTTAATGAGCTAAGAGTGTTTAGTAAAGAAACAGGCACGATATTACCATAAAATACTAAGATAAATCCGAGTCTAAATGCAAATCGAAAGTCACGAACACGTTCCATTTTGACTGTCGGGTCTATGCTATAGGATCCAGATTTATTTCTACCAAAGGATTGTTCCTTCAGCAGCATTACAAAGAACCTTTTTTTGGGAATTTTTATGCTGGAGACGAACCCGAGAAAGTTCGCTATTTTAGCCGACAGTTCACACTGCATGCTTCGTCGGTTTATATGTTTAAAGGTCGAGTGACGAGAAAGCAGTAGCACCTCCCAAAATCCTAGTGTGCCTCTTACTTTCACTAGCCAGGAAGTTCAAGTGGCCACTGGAAAGCTAAAAGTCTTGAAAACAATTGGCCCTGACGGACTATGTTCGGTGGGATTTGCATACTTCACAATGTCTCTCAATTTATCGTCGTACCCGACAAAGGAAAAGCGTTAGCTGCCTCGATAGCTCCGCGTAACTCTGGCGCAAACAAGTTCTGAATACTGAAGTAGGTTAAAGACCTGATCTGGGCCTGGCGTTGGTCGCTCTTGACGACATCTCTCTCTCTCTCTCTCGACAATGCTTAATAAGCCACTGTTTATTAAAATCTCTTCTCTCTTTATTTTCACAGCTATAAAAGTCGTGAAGACTTTTGCGTCGATGTGCGCCAAATATTCGATAATTGTGAAATGTTCAATGAGGATGATTCGCCGGTCGGCAAAGCGGGTCATGGAATGCGCAAATTTTTCGAATTACGCTGGACTGAGTTGACTGATAAGCACTCATGATATCAAATGCATCACCACCTCAAGTATTCTAGTGATTAAGAGAAGCAACAAACAAAAAAAAACAGAAATAAAAGCAAAATGGGAAGCAGAACCAATTAATTAAATAGAAATAAAAATAAAATGTTGCAACAGTGAAATTCCAATTTAGTTGAGAAAAAGGAGATTAAGAAAACAGGAAAATGGAGAAAGCAAGCAAAAACAAAAAAAAAAAAAATCAGTCATTTTTAAATATTCAGCAAAAATTATTGCAAATTAGAGTTCTTATTAGAAAAAAAGTCAAAAGTTTTAAGCAAAAAAAAAATAATAATAAAGAAATAAGACATTTTCGGCACTCCCAAAAACCTAAAGAAAAAAAATATAACTCTGGCTAAGCACACATACATATTATTGTCTAGAAGCATGAAGTGAAAAATCGAAGACATTGCAGGCATTGCAGTCCGAGTCACAACACAATAATGAAGCAGATGCTAAAGAAAACAACTATCAGTAATGTGGTATTTATAAATATATACAACCTTACATACATACATATACTTATACATACATACATAGTTGATTAGGTAAGCAAAGTTGATAATAACTAATGTATTATTTTCAAAAATGCAAAAAGAAAAAAATTGTAACGAAATATATCAGCAATCATGTAAAAGGCTAAAAATAATTGCATAAATTTGCGCAGAGATGTGTAAAACATAAAACTTAATGCAAAGAGAGAAAAAAATCATAATAATGAAACAAAAAAGTATTTTAAATTTTCTTGTAGGCAAATGCTAGTGTAGATAGTTGTGGCAGTGTGGGCCAAAAGTGTAAGAAATATTT